AAAAGAAATAAAAGAGAAAATATTACATGTTAGAAACCATATATAACTCATTCTAGGGAGGGTGTGCGTACGCAAACCTCACATTTCATATTTTCTCTTTTATTTCTTTTTTAGTTGGTACTTGACATTTCTAACCCTAAACCCCCTCAAATTCTCAATTCCTGCACTCTAAGTGTTTTCCTTCACTGCACATATTTTAAAAGCCTTTTTCATCAACCACTCTTTTTTTGCCATCAATCACATGTTACCTGTCTGTCTTTTTTTGTAGGATGTTGCTACCCGTCTTGGACTGCATCAAGGATCCTTATACAACTATGGTATAAATGGTGATGTCAACGGTCTTATAATGATGTCCGACATTGTACTCTATTCTTCTTCTCAAGATGAACAAAATTTTCCTCCATTACTAATTCGAGCCATGGCATACGGGATACCTGTTGTTGCATCTGATTACCCCGTCATACGTAAATATGTGAGAGATTTTATTTGACTTATTTCTCTTCATAATGCTATTTCATAATAAATTTTGAACGGATTTCTTGCTATATAGTACTGCCTCCCAAAAAAGAGTCACGTTTGCCCAAAATTATAACTATTAAATTTTAGTATGCTACAACAATCTTAATGAATTTCACCATTTTTGGCTTTGGGGTGTGATGGAATAAATCAAAATGGATCTCTAAACTATCTGCGCTTCTTTAATTAATGAAGTAGCAGTTAGTCAAACAATGCAACTTTCGACGTTGAGCCGGGGGTCTCTTTGGAAACAGCCTCTCTACTTTCGAGTAGGGGCAAGGTCTGCGTACACACACCCTCCCCAGACCCTACTCTTGTGGGATTTAACTGGGTTGTTGTTGTTGTTTTTACAACAATCTTAATGAATTTCACCATTTTTGGCTTTGGGGTGTGATGGAATAAATCAAAATGGATCTCTAAACTATCTGCGCTTCTTTAATTAATGAAGTAGCAGTTAGTCAAACAATGCAACTTTCGACGTTGAGCCGGGGGTCTCTTTGGAAACAGCCTCTCTACTTTCGAGTAGGGGCAAGGTCTGCGTACACACACCCTCCCCAGACCCTACTCTTGTGGGATTTAACTGGGTTGTTGTTGTTGTTTTTACAACAATCTTAAATATGAATGCAACTTTTTCTTTTCTTTTCTTTTTTGACAAAAAGTGTATAAAACCGATCTTTTTATTGTGCGGGGGAAGTATCTGATATTTTTTAGATTTTCAGGTTGTTGATGGAGTTCATGGAATGACATTTACACACCATAGTTCTGAGGCATTGATGAAGGCTTTCTCACTTCTGATATCTGATGGAAAACTTACAAAACATGCCCATTCTATTGCATCTTCTAGTAGGCTGCTTGCGAAGAACATGTTTGCAGTTGAATGCATTACAGGCTATGCAAATCTGATAGAGAATGTCTTCAATTTCCCATCAGACATGGCACCTTCGGGCAATACTTCTTTGTTTAAGCAACACATTTGGGAATGGTATTATTTTCACAATGATGAAAATGCTAGTGATAGGGAGGATAGGGATTCCAGTAATCTGAATGTTATTTATGAACTCGAGGAACACATGGGCAATCTCGTTTCTCTGAAGAATGTGTCTGATGACAATAATGAGTCTCTAGAAGTGGATTCTCCAACTGACTTGGATTGGGACATTTTAACAGAAATAGAGGGTTCTGAGGAAGCTGACAGATTAGAAATGGAAGAGGTAAACTGTGTAGAATTAGAGTATGGCCCCTACCCTCCTCCCTCTTCCATCACCAAAACCAAATGAGAGGGTATATGTTTTGTTTTTCCTCAAATCTTGTGATAACTGAATGATTCTACTTGTTTGAGTAGATGGCTGAAAGAATGGAGAAACACATTGGTGAGTGGGATGTGATATATCGGAATGCTCGTAAAGCTGAGAAGCTGAGATTTGAAACAAATGAGAGGGATGAGGGAGAGCTAGAAAGGACAGGGCAACCACTGTGCATTTATGAGATTTACAATGGAGCTGGAGCTTGGCCATTTTTACACCATGGCTCTCTGTACCGTGGATTAAGCCTTGTGAGATCACCTCAAACAACTAAAGCTATTTACAATTTAATATGTTCATGCTGCGTTAATCCCCTAGAATAAAATTGGATTTTGTTTAATCCCTGAATCAATGGTGTAGCCAACACTCATACTGGGGTAGCGGGGTTGGTCCTGGTGTCGAGACTCATTTTAACTAAAATTGCACACAGTTATGCTTTAGGGACTTAAAATTCTACTCCCTCCATCCCCATTTAATTAAGATGTTGATTACGATGGTTGATTGAATTAGTTCTTAATTCAGTTTATTTGAAAATTGGTGTGGAATAAAAAAAATAAAATTTATATTTTAAAAATAACATTGGAAGTTAAAGAAATAAATTGATTAATCTTTGACCCTGAATATTGAATAATTTGGGATGGAGGGAGTGCTTACAAAGAAGTAAATGGAACGTTTTTGGTCCTGAATGGTATTATAAGAAAAGACAATCTAATCATATTTAGCAGATTAGCTACATATCTGTATAATCTTTTCTAGTTTATACATTTATATTCTATATTCTAATTTAGATTAGACGTAATGCCTTAGTTGACGAAAGCACGAAGATTGAAGTCTGATGATGTAGATGCTGTTAGTCGCCTTCCGCTGCTGAATGAGACATATTATAGAGATATCCTTTGTGAGATTGGAGGCGTATTCTCAATTGCAAATGGAATCGATAATATTCATAAGCGACCTTGGATTGGATTTCAGTCATGGCGAGCCACTGGGAGGAAGGTGCACCTTCATTCTTGTTAACTTTTCTGAACGTATATGTTAGGGTTAATTGCATTTACCTTTCTTGAGGTGTGGTCAAATTACAAAAAAGGTCCCTAAAATCTATACAAATTACAGTTTGACTTTTCAAGCAGCAAACGTATCTGTGAATGACACTCTTAAAACTGATTTATGATAGAAAATAATGATACTATCGGGAATCGAGTGTTTCATTGTTTTGCATCTTATCCTTTAGACTATTTACATTTTTCTTAGGGAAAAATGTCCGGTCTAATGTTTGGAGTAATTTGGTATTTATACACTCATTTTTGTGTCATTTACATTTTTTTTCCAAAGTCATTTGCATATTATTTGACTTCTCAAGGGTTGTTTTTGTAATTTTGAGAAATCAGGGGGATCATTTGGTGATTTGACCCATCTCAGAGGAGGTAGATGCAGTTAACCCTAGATGTTTGTATGTTATAATTGTTTTCTAAGCTATAGGATTCTCTTAATGTATTGTTGAGTGTGACTTTATTTTTAAGCTTGCACTCCGTCTATATGTTTAGAATGTGCATTCCATTCATATTCATCTCCCTAAACTTCCCAATCTGTTGTAGACTTGTAACTTGTTACATCTATAACAGGTCTCTTTAAGTAAAAGGGCAGAGCAGACTTTGGAAGAAGCAATAAATGGAAACACCAAAGGGGATGTTATATATTTTTGGGCACATCTAGATGTAGATGCTGGGCTTGCAGGAAGGAATAATGCACTTACCTTTTGGTCCATGTGTGACATCTTGAATGGAGGAAACTGCAGGTGAATGTTCACTTTTTAGCGGAAAACATGGTTGTAATATGATAACGGGTCATATTTTCTGAAAGATGAATTTATGCTGTTCTCTTTTATGCTTTTGGGGTGTGGGATTCATATGTTATGTACCCATTTGGTAAGACTTAAAATGACTGAAGTTCTATGTTGAAGCTGCTGAAGTTGTGACTGAAATGGTTGAATCTGCGAAGTAATCTTTAAGATTATTTAATGCTTGGTATGATATATTTAGATATTTTAAAGAAAATATTTTTGGAAAGGGTAGAAGTATCAATTTCAGTCATCCAGCCAAATAGTAGCTCATACATTACCTTTTTCCCTTATAAGCTAATTCAGCAACATAGTAAATTACGTAGTAAGCTGTTATTTGATGAAAACATGGTTGATAGTCCTAAAATGAAGCCTTCCAAACAGGCTATATGTAGATAATCTTTTTTCCCAGACTCAAGTAATCCCTGATATCAGTTCAACCCTCTTTCTATTCCTTTTAAATGTCTGGTTGGTATAATGTTTTTAGCTTCCAATGATGAACAAGGTAATAGATCAGACCTTCTCTTCCTCTTATAACTCATGCAGGAATTCCTTCCAAGATGCCTTTCGCAGAATGTATGGATTACCATCACACTTGGAAGTGCTTCCACCAATGCCCCAAGATGGTGGGCATTGGTCTGCCCTGCACTCTTGGGTGATGCCAACCTCTTCTTTTTTGGAGTTTGTAATGTTCTCCAGGTAACTCAATTTGTTTGTGTCATAAAAACCTCATTGCCAGTATTATCATACTCCCTCCGTCCCAAAAAGAATTTCAATCACGGGAAGTTTTGGTCATTTGTACATTTTCCTCGATTATTTGATAAAATAAAATAAAATATTCTTGTCACCTTTTGTTTTGAAAAACTTTTGACGTATTTTTTAAATATGTAAATTTTATTTTTTATTTCTATATCAATCTTTAAACAAAAATGAATTGAAAAAACTTGAAATTTCGTTTCGTTTTGCGTCATGTGAGAAATATTTTGGGACGGAGGGAGTATATTTGAGCGGTTCAATGAGTTGTGAACTAAAATTTTGATGAAACATAGGATGTTTGTCGACTCGCTCAATGCTTTGAATGTAAATTCGAGCAACACATCAGAATGTGTACTGGCATCATCGACACTTGAGGTATGTTTACATAACACACATTTTTCGCTCTAGTGGGAAAAAATGTCTAGGGCTTGGGCAAAGCTGACGAAGAGGGATTAGAAAAGAACAAAAAACGTACTTATACCCCTAGAAAGACGAATAACGTATTTTCTCGTGTATTTGTTGCTTTATTACTTCCAGAAGACTCACTGTTACTGCCGGATTATGGAAGTGGTAGTAAACGTATGGGCATACCACAGTGCTAGAAAGATGGTGTATGTAGACCCTGACTCAGGCCTGTTGGAAGAACACCACCCCGTTGAGAAACGAAGAGGGCTTATGTGGGCAAAGTACTTCAACTCGACTTTACTAAAGAGTATGGACGAAGACCTGGCGGAGGCGGCCGATGACAACGACCACCCATACGAGAAGTGGCTGTGGCCGCTAACGGGTGAGGTGTACTGGCAAGGGGTTTATGAGAGGGAGAGGGAACACAGGTATAGGCTAAAAATGGACAAGAAGAGGAAGACGCGAGAGAAACTGTTTGACCGGATGAAATATGGGTATAAACAAAAGACTCTTGGGGGGAGATGATAGGTTCGTTGTTATATACGAAAGAGTAAATTTCATGAATGGTCCCTAGTTACTGGTGGTTTTCCATATTTAGTCTTCAATTATAAGAAATTACGTTTATGGTCCTCATTTTTTTTCAAAATTTGAGGACTAATTATGGAATATCTTATTATTGGAGACTGAATATGGAAAACCGCTTATAGTTAGAGACCATTTATGGAATTTTACTCTACACAAAAGACAGAGAAAATCACGAGTTTTGGCGGTTATGTGGGCCCCGAACCATCGGGGCCTGCTCATTTTTGGTTCGCAATTGTCGAATGGTCCATCAGGCCCGATGGATCGGCTTCGTTCGTTTTCTAACCACATGACCATTGGGTCGAGATCGTAGGATTGCCCGAGTTTTGAGGCGCGTCCATCAGGGAACCATTGCCACTTACTAAGTTCTTTTTTCTTCTTCACTTCCAGATTGGGAAGTTTTGCACATTCGATTCTTTTAACAATGTAAATATATAAATATGCAATAATGGCGCTTCAGTTTTGATCAAAATAGTACTGTATTTCTTTTGTGCGGAGTAATGCTTGGTTTACTCCCATTATTCTGGATGCTATATGGTTTGATTGTAACCCATGTCTTGCATTACTAATTAACTTTCATAGAAAATCATACAAAGAATCCCATCCGCCAAAGACATTGTGGTTCAGTCGCATCATAGTGACTCTCTCAAATGGGAGATGATAGGTTTGAATATCAAATGAGGGTAGTAATTTTATGCGTTTTAAGAGATTGAAAATATATGAATACATATTACCCGGAGTATATTGTACGGGGTAATAAAGTTATTGACGTTCTAAGTACAATGAATCAAATTTTAGGAAGTACAATGTACTATCTAAACAGTGACTCGTCACAAAATGTTGGACCTTAATGAGAAGTTGTTAACAAACCTTTTTCATAAATTTATTTCATAGTACATACAGACTATTTTTTCCGTCAATTATTTGTCCAATTTTGATTTTTGTCGTCAAAATTGAAAAAAAATTATCATTAATTAAGCAAAATTGAAATTAGAAATTTTATACTACAAAAGTAATTTCATTAGATTCACTATATAAAAAAAAATTTAAAATATTATTTTATTTAGTTAATAGACAATATAACTTTTATTTAATTAAAGGACAAATGTTGAATGTGATAAATACTTAGAGACAAAGATACTATTAAAAAATTGTAATATCTCAAAATATTTCTGAATTTGCAATTGAAGATGAGTCCCAAAATTTACAAAATGGTGAGAAGTCCAACATACAAGTCCAATACGGTTTTATACTAAGTTCTTAGGGGCTGTTTGTTTCAGCCTCTTAATGGTTCAGATGTTTGAATGGTTCAGCACTTAATGATTCAGACTGTTTGTTTCAGCCTCTTAATGGTTCAGATGTCTGAATGGTTAAGAGATTTGCCTCTGAATGGTTAAGTATTATACAGAGTCTGAATGGTTAAGACCTCTTATCTGAATTGATCAGACATTTGCCTCTGAATAGTTAAGCAATATACTAGCTCTTAATGATTCAGACCTCTTAGTGGTTCAGCACTTAATAGTTCAGACCTCTTACTGATTCAGCACTTACCGATTCAGAAGTTGCCAAACAGCCCCTTAGTCTGATAAATACATCGTCCTTGTAAGTTGTACCAAATAAAATATCAATAAAATAAAGTTGCTTGGAAGGGAGAGTAAATTTTTTTTAGCAATAATATTAGTGTAGGGTGAAATATAGGTTTAACAATGCTTTCTTACCAATGACATTAGTGATTACTAAATAATAGTCTATGCTCTACTTTTTTAATTATTACGGAGTACATATTTAGTTATTAGGGGCGGTAAAAAGTAAATATTCCTCGCGATAAATTAGAAAGAGAAACAAGATTTACACAATCAAATATATTGATTTTAAAATATTTTTTATCTCAAAATATTTGTCCAATTTGATTTTCTTAAATCACATTAAACAAACTTTAAATTATCAATTACATTAAAACTACATTGTATATTAATACGATAAAATATTAAATTATGTTATAAATATGTATTTTTTATTTACTCCAAATAGTTATTTTGTTTATATGATAAGGACCATGATAATTTTTATTTATTTTGTTTATATCATACTTTTTTCATCCCATAAAAATATTATACGTTTCTTTTTTCACCTATTACAAAAAAGGTTTTACTTTTGGAAAAGAAATTATGGTCTTTATAACTCTTTTTCCTTCTCCAACACTTTAAACCACAAAATTTTATCTTCTTTATTCTCCATACTAACTTAAAGAATGCATCTTTTAGAATAAATTTTATAAATGGTCCCTAATTATAATGGATTTTCTATATTTTGTCCGCATTTATAGGGTATTACATAATTGATCCTCAATTTTTGTAAATTATTCCATAGTCAGTCTTTCGGCCACTATTTGTAAAAAAAAAATATCCTATCATATTTGATCTAAGAGACTATTTATGGAATATTTTTTTTAAGAATTACTCCCTCTGCCCCTGAGTGTTTGTCCATTTTCATTTTTGCACACCATCCAATGCACTTCTTTAATCCATTTTATCTTGTAATTTGTATATTAAAAAATTATAGAAATTATATATTAATAATCTATATGTTAAGACGAATCAAACAAGATCACACATGACTATTTTTAAGCTTACACATTGGAAGAATTTGATGAGTTAAAGTGCTTAGATGAACAGTTCCAAAAGTCAAAAGTGGACAAACACTCAGGGACGGACCAAGTAATAAATATTTATATGGTATCTTATAAATATAAAAATCACTTGTAATTAGGGATTATTAAGGGGCTTTTATAGGATATGAGGAATTCTTAATCTATGACTTGATATGGGAAATCCAGGATAAATTTTGGATTACCCGCGGGTGGATTTGAAACCCCGAGCCAGTGCCCGCTTTCTTCAGGTCTCTGTCTGCACAAATTGCAGTGTAACGTGATTCTCAGTTCTCAGTCTCTTCTTTTTTTTTCTTTTTCTTTTCACTCTTCCCCAGCCAGTACTCAGTAGCCATTGAAATTAGGGTTTTTATTTTTCTCGAAGTCTTTTTTCTCTCAATCTCATAAATAAACGCAGGTAATGTCATCATCTTTAGCTTTTCGGTTCACAGTATAACATTTCATGTTGTTATATGGGAATATGGTTTTGTGTTTATTCTGAGCACATTGGGTTGTGTGTGTGGATTCTATTATATCCCAAGGAAAAATAAATAAAATAACTTGAAGAAAAATGCGCAGAAAAAGGAAAAAGTTTCAACCTTTTTGGAGGGTTAGTCCTTGTTTCGGTCAATTTTGTGCCAGAGTACTATACCTAGAATTGATATAGAAAATGAAGAAGAAAGTGAGAAGATTGAGCTTATTTCTCTAAAATTCTGCTCATTTCTGAACTTTTGTCCTTAAGGAAAAGTTTGGAAATAAGATTATGATTGTTTATCTCACAAGTTATGGTTATTTGGAAATTACCCTCTACTATGTTGCTTTTTAAACATTTAAAATGTCATTCTTGGTCTTGTTGGAAAATATGAGTGGTTTTCTAAGATTTTTAGGTCAATAAACTTAAGGAGACCAAGTAAATGAATCCCGGTAAAATCTTCTGTTTTCAGCTTCTTTACATTTTTAGTTAAAGCTGCATAGGTTTCTCACCAGTTTTTAGACATATATTTTGTTTGGTTGATAATGTAGTATGTACCCTGATTTGGGGATGTGTCCTGGAAACCTTTAGAACAGTTTTCTCATTACCAAGGAGTCGAGAGAGAAGAGAATGAGAGGGTAAATTGAGAAGAAGAGAGACAAGAAGGAAGAGCGGGAGAAATGCTTAGGGAGAAAACTTGAAAAGTTCTTATTGATTCTTTGGTTATGATTAAAATGCGCATCCATATGTTTATAGGCCTAAGATGGTCGTATATACTCTTGTAATCTGCTCATACCATTATAGTTCAACACATTAACTATGAAATAATACAATTTCTACAAGATAAGAACGTATTTTAATATGCTTAAACTTCTAAAATTCTACCAAACATTGATATATTTACACTTTAGGGTTGTATCAGTCTGGTAGTACATTTAGATCTTCAACTATGTATAAAAATACAGAAGTAATCAACCAAGCAACTAACAATGTGTATGTTGCACATGTCCTTTTGAGATCTTTGGTAAATCTAAAGCTTGTGTGTCTGTCTAATACAAGTTACCCTTATCCTTATAAAAGTGAACCTTAATTAGTTATATTCACATGTGTTTGTGTAGAATGATTTTATTCCCAACATTCTTGGACATTGAACAGCGAAAAATGTTCTTTTGTTATTGGAACTTGACTTTGAAATATATTTATTTATTGCGGAGGAATTGTTTTCAGGGTTCGTCTTTGAGAATTGAACATTCTGCACAACATGCACTTATTAAAGGGAGCATGGGCTGGGCACACATTTTCAGTTTCTGCGTGCAATGATTCCGGGGGACGAAAGGCAAGGATAAGGCGCTCGAAGGAAGAGAGGAAATCTATGGCCGAAACCTTTATAAAGACGTAAGTGAGGCAAAAACTTGTATTTACCAATTGGTTTTTTTTAATATTTTTGCATGCAAATTGACATGCCATGTTTTGTCTTGAAGGGGTTCCCTTTTTAATATAGTTTTTTTTACATGCAATGTTCACTTGGTTTGATAAAAAAAATGTATATACCAATCCTTTGTTTATCGAAAGAACAATTTAAAATATTTGGGGGCTTTACCAAACAGAATATGAACAATCTTCTATACAATTGCATTTCGAAAGAATGAAAAATGGAAAACATGTTTACTCTGATAATTTTTCATTTTCTTACATTCCATCCTTTTGGCACCTTGGCAGTGTTCTCCAAATTGGATAAAAGGCATGTCTACCATTGAATCTCCTCTGCATCATTCTGACCTTTTCTTCTTTTCAGTTTCTCACTTTCTTCCCTGCCATTGTGAATATCAGCTTTTAGTCATTTTATGTTGCTGAACCTGTTATAGGATATTGAGAATTTTCTTTAGTTGTATAAACGTTAATGAGTCAGGATAGGCAACTGTTTCGTTGTTCTTGGAATCAGTTATTAGCTGTTGATGTATTCAACAATTCATTCAATCTAAACGAAACCATGTTGAAAATGTTGTTTCTTTCTTGTACGTTTTGCAGTTATCAGAAATCAAATAATGGGAATTTTCCTTCTCTGACTCTTACACACAAGAATGTTGGTGGCTCTTTCTACACTGTAAGGGAAATTGTTCGGGAAATAATTCAAGAAAATAGAGTTTTAGGTCCTGCCACATTTCCCTCGGAAGAGCAGAATGAAGAAATTCCATTCTTATCCTTTCCTGTTGAACCTCAATCTTCTTTGTCACTTAAAGATGCCATGCACTGCCAGAGTACAATCAATGGAGATGTTTTAGATTCTAATGGGCAGCTTCATAGTAGTAGGTTCAGTAAGCAACAGTCAGATGATGAACAAGTGGTTGTTGTTACTAGTAGTGACCTAATAGGACAAGGCAGACTTGAAGATGAACAACCTTCTCAGTATATTGTGAAATCTGCTGGATCAGATGGAAGAGGCCTCACAGCTGAGAAAGTCGAAGCATCTCTAGAACCATTGTATATAGAGGCATCATCAGTAAAGGAAAGTGTAAGAGAGACAAAAGAATTCAAAGTATCAAACACAGGACCCACCCTTAACCAGTCAGATGATGAACAAGTGGTTGTTGTTACTAGTGACATTATTGAACATGGCAAACTTGAGGAAGAACAATATCCATACCATATTGTGAAATCTTCTGAATCAAATGAAAGATGCCTCACAGTCGAAACATTTGAAAGATCTCAAGAGCCAATGTATATAGAGTCATCCTTAGTGAAGGAAACTGTAGGAGAGACCGGAGAGCTCGAAGTATCAAATGCAGGACCCACCCATAGCCAGTCAGATGATGACCAGGTGGTAGTTGCTACTACCGACATAACTACACAAGACAGACTTGAAGATGAACAACCTTCACATTATAATGTGAATTCCTCTGAATCAGATGGAAGATGTCTCATGGTTGAGAAAGTTGAAGCATCTCAAGAACCAATGCATATAAATTCATCATCAGTAAAGGAAAGTGAAGGAGAGACAGAAGTTGAAGTATCAAAAGCAGGACCCACATGTAAAATTGCAGATGTATTGGTTGAAAAGTTTCCTCTACGGCCCATTTCTATGGCATTTGACGACTGGGATGAAAAATTGATTAGTCAAACAAATGGTTTAACATTGGAAGTGAATGCAGACATGATGAAGGAGGCAGTGGAATCATCTTTGGAAAGTAGTTCAACTTCTTCCACAGCTACTGCAACTGACATCAAACTAATGGATTCATCTTCTGAAACTAAGGTAAGCGCCCAGCTTCTGTTCAAGTTAGATTCATGCTTTAGTTTAGCTGGTTCTACATAGCCATTGTCTTGAATTTGAGTTGTTGGAAAAAACCTGTAAAAAAAATTACTAGTCTTAAAATTTTTGGGCATTTGGATGATGTCAATATGGATACACTTCAGTGAAGTGGTATTGCACTATTGCCCTTCTCAAAGACCGTTAGAGCCCTTGTTTGATTGGAGAAGTTGGAATGGAAGGGTAGGGAAGGATGAGAAGTAGAAGTGTGTGTTACGTTGAGGAAGTTAGGATAGAAAGGAGAGGAAAATGGAGGAGCTACGGACTCCTCTAAATTCCTCATATCTCTCACTTTTTCCTATTTCCCGGATAATATTTTTTCCCATTTTTTTCTTCATTTACAAATAAAATTTGTTTAGCGTTATTGAAGGGGAGCCTTGGCTCACCACTTGAGGAGTTGTCGTGTGACCTTGAGGTTACGGGTTCAATTCTTGGAAGCCGCCTCTTGCAAAAGTGCAAGCTAAGGTTTGCCTACATGCACCATTGTGGTGGGGCAGGGCCTCTCTCGATGGGGATGCTTTGCGCACCTGGCTACCTTTTTTTGGTTTACGTAATCATTGTTAATAAATTCTATCACATATACTGTATAATATTTGTCTAGGATACGAATTTCTCTAAATCCTCCATTGAAGCTGTTAGATAATATCTTTAAATATGATAGTTGTAAAATATTCATCTAACAAACAAGGAAGGCTATTCCTCTTGATAGAGAATATAGTAATTCCTTAGAGTTTTGCAGCATGGTATCATAGAGTTTTCAAAGATTTTACCCCCCCCCCCCCAAAAAAAAAAAAAAANAACAAAAATCACTCTTTTGCAGAGCATTCTTTTTTGAAATTTTAGCACATTCATACGACAAAAACTGAGTAAGATCCCTAAGTGGGTGTGGAAAAGATAGGTGTGTGCTGACCATATGTCTACCTCTAGAGGTAGACGAGTTGTTTCTAAAAGAGTCTTATGTCAAGAAAACATAAAAACATGTTTAAGCAATCAAATAATAATAAATGAAAGTAACAGTAAAACAACTATGAAATAAAGAAGGGACGAGTAACTAAGAACACACACAGATACAAACCCCAACGAAGGCACCCCTCTACACCTTACCAAACTGAAATAACCTAACTTCAATCTTCGATCTCCAAACTCAAAGCAAAAGCATCATGTCACGTATAATCACTTACACCCAACTCTTCTTCTGTCTACTCATACCTCTCCTCAAACTCCCCACCTCTAACCTCCAAGTCTCCCACACCTCCTCATATGATATTGACGCTCCTTATTTGCACCCATCCAAACCACCATAACCTTGAATTGCACATCTTATACTCCATGAAATTCATTCCCACATTGTCCAGTATATCTTCATTTCAAACTTCATCCCCAGTAAATATATCTAAGCAGCCTGTTCTCTGCATGTGTGCAGTCTTATTTGGCTAACATTCTAATTCATATAGCATAGTCAATCTCGTCACTGCTATATATAGTATACCTTCTAGCTTCAATGGCACATTCTTGTTGCAAAGGACTCGAGACGCAAGCCTCCACTTTAGCCTAATTCGATGAGCAACATCAATCGTAATCATCTTGAATGATATATAAGGGCACTTGAAACAAAAAGGGATGGATTGAAACTCAATCCTCCTCTCCCATCCCCACTCATATGGCATGTTGCTAAATTACAATTTACAGACTCAGTCTTTATCATGCTCCGTCTGAGACCTTTGGACTCCAAAGTTTTACTCCAAACCCCTATTCTTTCACTAACCCATTCACATGTTTGGTCGATTTATACAATATCATTTGCATATAACATGTACCAAAGTATTTCCTCTAGATATGTCTTGTGAGTTCATCCATCACGAATGCACATAAAATCAGACTAATAGTAGACATAGACATAGACGTATGATGATGATATAACCACATCTCGATTAGGATGTGGTCTAAGGCCATTTGTCTCTACTCTAGTCTTTGCTTTATCATACATGTCCAATGATGAGAGGAATTTTGCCCATTTAAAATGTATATAAGTCGCTGCATGGAAAATCTTCAATCAAATAAAGATGCAAAAACTGCAGAAAAGTAAAGGTGTATAGTGAAAAATATGGGGTTATCGTATCCACTATGATGGCTGGTGAAGTGTGTGATCACTGATGAATGAGTCAAACTCCACACGCGTCGTATTTTAGATTGATAAAGTTCTCTTGGTTCGTTGTAGCTCGTCAACCATCTTTGTGTATACATATTTGACATTTGGTAAGTCGTAAACGTACAAAGAACTCAGTACGAAGATGCTTTAAGGTCTTATTCCTTTCAACTTTTGAGTCTAGGCATTGATATTCAAAACTCCAGACTCTAGTCTCTCATCTCTAGCCATCAGACTCTAGTCTTTAGTCTCTAAACTCTCGTGTCTATGTTATGGTACTAGTTTCCAGTTTGTAGATTCCAGACTCCATGGTATATTGTTATACTGGTTCCCGTTTCCATTGTCTACACTCCAATTTATAGCTTCCAGACTCTAGATCCCAATCTTCTCACTTTGGACTCCCGTTAAAATTAAGGCATGAAGAACCATGCCTTACTCATGATATTCAGATACAATAGAAACAATCCTACCATATGGCTATTAAAAAAAGGATTGCTGATTGTAACAACCAGATCACGTTTTGTCTCTTCTCTTTAGGATATGATGCATTTAACGAAATTATCACCAAAAACTCACCCATTACCCAACATTCACCGTCTATTAACGCACTTGCAAGCAAAGATTTATACTTGAGTTGAGAAACTGTCCATCACCTAGAAAGTTATATTCGTGTCTCAACGCAAATATGCACTTGGTTGGTTGTGAATCTAAGTGACACTTGGGTTGATAATCTTTGTGACAAGTAGGGAATGATAAATACATATGGTTGAACTTTTGGGTAGTATTGTTATATTGTAGCTAAATATATGATTCTGGTAATGTATTCCTCCATCAATCAAGAAAAAAATATTCCTCCAACCAACATGGAAGAAGACGGAATTAGGTGATGCTTTATACCTTATAAAGCATGAAATCTTTATCTTAAGATAGACAATACATTACCCTCTCTCTGTGTGCTTATGCTTTCTTTCTTTTGTAATAGAACCAAACACATTTTTTCCCACTTCGTAGTGGTTAAAGAGTGTGTTTCTAATAATTTGGACCATCTGTATTTATTTATATGTTCTTATTACCCCTTTTCAATAACCTGCACTATTTTTAATATTCGAGTTAAAATGAATATCTATTTTACATGATAAAATCTACCCCGTATGTTTTTTTAGATGATCAAATATAGTTTGGAAAAAAATACGATAATGAAATACAAAAATTAATAAATGTTTGTTGTTGGACGTTAATATCCTCTCGGTTTTCTTGATTATATTACAAAACCCCGTCATTTTGATTCTTGTCTCTCTTTTTTTTAATAAAATAAAATAAAATAAATCTCATAACTTGAGGTGGGCATGTACCTAGGAGGAGGAACTCTGTTGGGTGGACCATCTAAGCCATCATTTAAAATTAAAAACCAAGATTACTGATACTGTGAGAAGCATCATCATATCATATGAAGCCTGAGCTGTCTCCCCAACCATAATGTGTACTATCTTACAAGTTAAGGTTAAACACAATGAGATGTTTGGTGTACTTTTACAGACATTCATCAGTGGCAGTAGTTCCAACTGATCTTGCATGAAGTTTGTTATGGACTTTTATTTTGAAGAGTCTCTTTCACTACACAATAATAATAATAATAATAATAATAATTATTATTATTATTATTATTATTATTATTATTATTATTATTATTATTATTATACCTCCGTCCCGTTGATTTTTTTTTTCAATTTTCATGTTGTTTCGAAAGTTCTAATATTATTTATGGTAAATAGTTGTAGTTTATCTATGCCTTTAATTTCTTCTAAATAAATCTCAACCGCCCGAATTTATTTGTTTTTTAAAAATTAATTTCTGTGCTAATGAAGATTCAAGAAGTCGAGTGGAGCACAGAAAGCAATAGAGAAGAAGAAGAAGAAGGAGATAGCAGCAGCAGCATGAAGGTTGAGAAGAAAGGGAAAAAATATCATCTTTCTCCTTCTTCTCTTCCACTGGATAGAATCAATCTGTAAGTATCTATCAATGCCTACTGGGATTCACACCAGATTCTCTGTTTCCGGTTGACTTGTTATTATTTTCTTGCCAATTATTCTGTCGTCCACTAGTATTTTTTTTTTCTTTTTTTTTTTTAAATTTGGGTAAACTAGCTTATTTTTGCATGTAAGTTTTAAATTTTTTCAATTTTTTTTGGAGCAGTGAAACATGGAAAGGGACAGCAGCAGAGACAAGCACCAAACATGAAAACAACCCACTTTTGGCTTTATTCAAGTCCTTCATTTCTGCCATTGTTAATCTTTTGCACTGAAGATTTTAAAAAAAGAAAAAAAGAAAAAAAAAAGAAAAAAGACTTCCCTTTGAAGGGCAGTTCTCATCATCCTATTCATATGTGTTTCAGTTATTTACCTTTATGCCTTTCATTGTCTTTTGATAATCTGTTATATATATGCAGAGATGAAACAGTGTAGACATGGATGATGATCTTTGGTCACATGCTTTCATTAATTTAATTATTCTTAGAGTTTTTTTCTTTCCAATGTGTGCATCTGTTACAGTACATGGGTAAAAAGGTAATTGATTTGTTTCCCTTTTTATGTTTCAAGGATTTGATTGTTTAAAGAAAAAAAGTAAATACAATTTGAAAAGTTGATATGATTGTTGATGAAATTAATATAAGAGGATAGTAGTTGCTATCATTTCGGAGGTCATAAATTCGATCCCTAGTGGAAACAATAAATTTGCGTGGTTAACGGGTTGAAAATATATGAATAAATATTACGCTAGACGAAGTAATAGAGTTTAAAAAAAGTTGCTATCATTATTACTCCAAAGAATACAAATAAAAAAATATAGTGGGCAGAATTGGAAATTTGTGTATGGAGTAAAATAGTATTGGGTATTTGTCATATTTACTCCAAATTTGGCTAAATACACTTCAATTATTGTAATTAAATGGACATTTTGTCTCATAAAAATATAAAAGAGTTGATTTATCTAAAAAGTGTGGATTTAGGCATTTAGCCACACACCCAATAGTCTTTTCAAGTTATGGTAGAAAATTCACATTTTTTTCAACTTTAATGCATTTTCTAGTCTCAGTTCTTATTTTTGCATCGCAACTCTTTGCAACTATATTATTTTTTTTGTTTTCTATTTCAAATTCTTTTCACCAAACACAGTGCTAAGAAATAGAGTTTCCAGTGAAAACAAATGGCTTTGAAAAGGAAGAAAGAAAGAAAGGCAAATCTATATTACTTCCGTCTCAGTGTATTTGTCCATTTTGACTTTTTCAAGTCAAGTTATACAAACTTTAGACCTCAATAAAATAAAGATGATAATATATTGTAGTACGAAGTATAAACATTATTTCAATAGATTTATCTTGTTGAGAACTTATAAAATTTTAATTTATTGTATTGGTATGCAAAACAAATTTGAAGTAATTGATGATTAAAATTCGTCTAAATTAACTCAAAAAAGTCAAATAGAACGAATACACTAGAACGGAGGGGAATATATAGCAATGATTGATGAGAAAAAAGAGAACAAAATGGAAGTTACAGCGTGGAAACTTGGGCTCATCATTTCCATGTGCAAACAAAACAATAGATATTAACAACGGTAAAAAAAACGTACGTAAAAAAAATACACACACAATCTCTGGCATGCATGATTGATTGATACATATTCCTTTGGTAGCATAAAATTTTATGGATTTTTGACTTTTGGGAAATTAAAAAATATTAAAAGGTGAAAAAAATATTATATGTATATAATGTTTAGAAAAGTAAATTCTTTTTTGACGGATAAAAAAAGAGTTAAAAATTTTTACAGGACGAAAGAAAAAAAAAGGCTTAAAAGAGTGAACTCAATAATACATAGACTGGTATATAGTACTCACTCTCTCCCCATTTTTCCTTTTCTGGTCCCCTTTCATTTCCAATATTTATTTCCATTTATGTGATCTCTATTATTGCTCCCTATTTCTTCTTTCTTTCACTGCATAAATTTAAAAAAAAATTATCACCTCAATGAGTTTGTCCGCTTTGATGTCTCACGGTTTCATTCGTAAACGTTTGATCATATCGTTACACTATGTAATGTTCCCTCCGTTCTAAAATGGATGTCTGTTGCGGTTAACAGAGGTTAACAGAAATCATTTTCGACTCAATTTATTTAAATATTAGTGTAAATTAAAACTATATAAAAAGATATTATATAAACTATAGCATTTGGCAAAATGTATATGAAAAAAACTATATAAAAAAGAGATAAGTTTTTTTTAAAAAAATATTGAGTTTGATATGTGAATATAGTACAATGCAATCCATTTGGAAACACTTGCTTATTGCATTTAAAATTAGTCTAATCGAAATATTAATGAATTCATCACTTTATTTTCTCAAATATTTTTAAAAAAAGTATAAAAAGATAAAAAGTCCAAAGCATGGCCATCCCATCCCATGTACTGTGTGTCTGTGTGTATTTAAAGATGAATTGTGTGTAGATGGCCATCCCAAAACTGGGACCATGAAAGTATATTGAGTATGTCTTTCTATGAAAATCCAAGAATTATTAAGTCATACTTTCATTCAGATTTAATCTTCTCATTTGATTTTTTTTGGTAAAAATTTGTAAAATTTGATCTCAAAATGTAGAAAGAAGAAATTGTATGTCGACAAAAATGTAAATAACAATAGTTTCCTTTTGAAACGTTGTTTTTAAATTTTAATTCTTTTTATAAAATGTATTTATGTATAAATATTGATACTAACGATCAATATGTATCATTAGAAATCGTGAAAAAATAATACTCCGTATAGAAAAAAATAGTGACTGTGAGAGTACATTGGTGTTTGGTGGATTAGAAGGAAAGAAAAAAGTTGGATGAAAGAATTTACTCCGTACTATATATACTCTTCTAAAGAAAGAGTGCCTTGGGAAAGGAAATTGATGATGATTAGGACTTGATCCTTGAGGGGTATTTTTGTACTTTAATCGATCTTTCTGTTATGGCTTTCTCAATGTAAAGTCTATACCTTTTATTTTAAAATAAAATTTTCTAAAATAGTCTTTTCTAATAAGATATTTTTTTAAATTAGTCTTTAATTCATTTTAATTATCTATATGACACTTTATAATTGAGATTTATTTGCTAAGTAGTCTTTTGTAGAAACGTCACTTATATAACGATTTATTAGAGGATATTTTAGTATTTCCATTATCCAAGCTTAAAGTAAAATTTTAAAAAATTCAATTCTATACAATTTCAAGTAAACTTAAAGCAATCACTATGCATAAATCATTAATTATTAAGAACTTGTCAAAATATTACTATATAAAATTTGAATCCAATATACCTCCTTAGTTAGAAAAGTCCATTTTGGAAAAATAATTGATCTGAAATGATTATTTTGAATAATTACTCTAAGTTTAGATGATGAATACCCTATACATAATTGATTTTAAGTGACATTTCCTTTAGAGATGACTATTTAGAGAACAAATCTTAATTATAAAATATCACATGATAATTAAACTTATTGAAGTCTGATTTGAGAAAAATATTTTATTTGAAAAAGTCATTTTAAAAATTTACTGTTTATTTTACTATGGAGTACTAAAATGAATTGAATGAATTGTACCGCAATGTTTTTTCCCCATCTAAACAAATTTTAATAATATATTCCCTCCGTCCCACTATATTTGCCCACTTTCATTTTTGCACATCATCCAATACACTTCTTTAATCCATTTTATCTTGTAATTTGTATATTAAAAAATTATAGAAATTATATATTAATAATCTATATGTTAAGACAAATCAAACAAGATCAGACATGACTATATTTAGGCTTACACATTGAGAGAATTTGATGAGTCAAAGTGCTTAGATGAACAGTTCCAAAAGTCAAAAGTGGACGAATATAGCGGGACGGAGGTAGTATTTTTTATTTTTTTTACTTTTCAAATATTTCATGAAGTTAAATTGTAAAGTCGTCAACGCTTATATCTTTAAGTTTCATGAAGTTAATAGAACATGCTCACTCCATTCCTTTTTTACTGCGGATCGGAGTATTTGTTTTGATGTTCATAATTAGTTTAATTAGTTAAAGTAGAAAAAGTTAAACTCGACAAACATACTAGAACATATATATACACTAGAGCAAAAAAGTCAAACTGACAAACACTAGTACGTTACCCAAACCTTACACCGGTTGGGCTATTTTGATTCACGTGAAAGAATATTACTCTCTTTGTCCAAATTTAAATAGTTCTTTTGGTTTAGATGTTTGGCTAGGTTTGTTTAAATGCAATTTACTACTCTCTCCGTCCCTAAAAGATCTTCCCCTTTCATTTTTTTAATTTGTTGTTCCCAAAAGATGTTCCCTTATCTATTAAAAAACAACTTTTGCCTTTTACTTTTTCATACGTACCCTACTTATCACATCATATCTTTTTACTACTCCCTCCGTCCCTCTAAGATGTTCTCATTTTGACTTTTAGTAGTTTTTAAGGAGAGTTGAAAAAAGGTGAAAGTTTACCATAACACCCTTAATGAAAATGGGTGGAGTGTATTAAATGAGGTGGGTGAGGTGTAATAAATAAAGTGGGGGTAGTTGTGGTATTTTAATTGTTAAAAAGTGAAATGAGAAGATCTATTGTGGACACAGAAAAAGGGCTATTGAGAAGATCTATGAGAGACAGAGGGAGTATTAATCTACATATCACATCTTACTTTTAGTCATCACATCAAAGATATTTTTGGTAAGTCAACACAAGAATATTCCTCTTTTAAATCCTCAAAAAGGAAATTTGGAGCGGAATTGAAAAAATAAATTTTACATACTTCCTATGTTCTTAAATCACTTACTGTTTGCGCAAAACAAAGTAATATTTCAAGTTTTTTCAATTCATTTTATATAAAGATTGGTATATAAATAAAAAAAATACATATTTAAAAAATACATCAAAGGTCTACAAAACAAGAGGTGATAAGAATATTTTATTTCATCAAAACAGTCAATGAAAACACATAAATAAATAAAAATGTTTCCGCAATTTTTGAATAGTAAAATGTGTAAATCATTTAGGACATATGGAGTATTAAAAACATTCAACAAAAATTTTACGAAACAAGATGTGACATGATTTTATTCTTTTATCAAATGAGTAACGAAAATAGGAAAAAAAAGTAATTAAATAAAATTCGACCATGTAAGTATGTAATAAATATGCAACTTAAATTTAGGAGAGACCAATACTACTTATTGGTATTTTATAGTGAAACTTTAACGAATTCGGCAACTGTTTATGCATCGTTTTGTTATGTACCAGTAAGGTCATGTTCTTCTCAACTTATTCTTTTTTCTTATTACTTATTCTTATTCGAATCAGATCACAAAAAATTTTAAATATAACAACATTCAGATCAGATCACACTAGATCAAATCAGAACTTTTTACAATCAGATCAGAACCATTCAAATCAGATGAAGAGAACATG